GACTAAGAAGTGGAAACAGTGAACGAGAGAAGGAGAGAATAACAATACATTTGCCAGAGGGAACAAGAGAGAAGAATGAGGGCAAAACAGTGGGTTTGTTACATAAAGCTGGGATCAGACACAGGTCAGCACAGCAGACCAAACACAATAGATAGGAGGCGAGCACTTCAGGAGGAAAGACTAAATAATGGAGATAAAACAAGACAACAGGACAACGAATGCTACCCCATCGCACTGAAAACGAGCTCACCTACCACCTCCCTCTCAAGGAAATACCCTCTTCTAAAACGCCATAAAAATTATCTGTGAGAAAAGGGAAATGATTGAAGCCTGTTTATGGGCGCCAGCATTTCCCCTTAGCTGCCAGTAAATACTTCCTCCCCTCCAACAGAGTGGGTGTTTTGGTATTTATGGGTTTTAATAGGAAGAGTGTGATCATCATATTGACCGACCCGCTCAGATCCTAATGGCTGCCTTAAATCTCACGGAAACACACTGTATTCGAGGGTGAGTTACAGTCAAATTAACATGGAAAGCGAGGCCGGCGGGACTGCTCCTGCCAGAAGGGAGGAAAACAATAGCTCAAATGGGGTTCGGGGGGTGGTGGTGGTGGTTGTTGTGGGCATGGTGGTGGGGGTGGTGGTGGTGGTCGGAGTGGGGGGTGGGTGGGTGGGGGGTAAACGATTTTTATCAGTAGCAGAGAGAGAATGAGATGGGTTGGAGAAGGTGGGAGGAATCCAATGTGCTCGCCTTCCATTATAAGAGTCATAAAGTAGTTTTAATGACCAAATGTTGAGCTCTTTGAAACAAGATATTGGATCATAATACAAGCGTTATAGTGTCACACTTTGGCTCACTGCTTTTGTACAGACAACATTTTGTAGTGCATTTGTGTGCATCTGTATTAGGTTCACGTCCACATGTGTGTGTGTGTGTGTGTGTGTGTGTGTGTGTGTGTGTGTGTGTGTGTGTACACGTGAGAATAGAACTGATTGTCGTTGATTTACAGTTAATTCATTACTACTAAATGTGTGCTTAATGAAGTCAGGAGTGATTTGTGCTGTATAAACATATTTCCTCACCTCCCCTGTCCCACATGTTTATGACCTTTTCTACCTAATTTAAATGTTAGTTTAATCAATCGACTTTGCTAATCGATTGATTGTTTAAAAGATAAAGCTGGTCATTTTTTATTTTCTCTTGTCATCAACAGATACAAAGTAAAGAAAAGCAGTACGTCAGTGCATCTCTCAATTCTTTCCAACTTTGCTGGCCTGTCTGAGACTCTCATACCCATTTGTTCCTACTGAAGCCATAAAGCCTTAAAAAGCAGCAGTACACTCTTAAAACGAATGTAGTTTTTAGGATTCCACAAAAAATTGTGAATAGAGTGGCTCCCCAAGCAAGTCAGTAATGGTACTCAGACAAAGCGGGAGGCGTGAGTTCCAAAAAAGATCTTAATATGCTCAATATGTGTAATAAATAAAGGCACTAAATGGCATGCAGAACACAGAATAGACTTGGATCAGTAGCTACTCTGGATTGATACATGTCTCAAGCTTGGTGCTCCTCCTCAGGAGGCATCAGGAAGTTGCTGGACGTGTCTCTAGGTACAGAGAAAAGGCAGGAAATGATGTGGTAAATGGTGGTAGAGTAAAATTGCAACAGTGGCAATTATGATATTAATAATGTAAGTTTTCTCTGACACTGAGTGTGATTGGTTCATCGTTGTGTTTTACAAGACAAAGGTTATAATATGCCCTCTGAGCAGCGCTACGTCTTGAGTGCAGATTGGAGGCTATAGTGAGTCACTATTGGAAAATGATGTGGACTGTGGCCAGCTGGTTAGCATGCTAACTTCAGTAGAAGAAAAGACGTGATAGAGACAAGAGTTGCCATTACTGTTGCCTTATGGACAGCACTTGGTGAGTAAAGGAATAAAGTTTGATGCTGAACTTGCAACGTTTCTTCTAGACTGGTAATTAAACAGTGCTAATGATGGCTACGTAGCAATAGCAAAACTTACAAATTGCTTCTATGTCTGGTTATGGATACAAAGAACCAAACCAACAACATTCATTGTTGGTTTGGTTCTTGTCATGCAAGTTGTTGTCAGTAAGAGAAAGATCACCAGACTTTCCTTTAAAGGCTCTGCACACTCATGGTACCCCAACTTTCATATTTTGCCTGTGGGGTTGTGTCGGTGGATGTTTGACTGACATCTCCCAATCCCTCCTGTTAGTTCTGCTGTACCTGCTGTACAAACTACGACTTCATCATTTGTATAGGTACATCAGGAGCAGTGACGTCTTGTTTCCAAATATAGCTCCACCCATCTTCTACCTGAGCAGAGGTTTAATTAACCTTTAACAAAAAAGGACCTTTGAGTCATTTATCAAGTAAAAATTTCAAACCTTGGCCTTCTTCTGAGGACATTCTGACATGTCATAATAAGTACAGCACATGTGTAAACAATAAAATGAATGATGGCTGATACTTCAGCTTCAGGGTCCTGGTATCGTTCACGCTGACTCATTGTCACACTCTCAAGGCTAAATGATGTTTTAAATAATTGTGCATTTAATATCTTTGGTTTTCAAACAAGCAATTTGAAAATGTCGCCGTGGCCTCTGGTGAAACAATATATGACATATTATATAAGAGTATTTTCAGAAATCTTGCAGATTAAAGAACTGGTAGGCCAGAGTACTACCAGGCTGTGAGGAAACTTACCGGACAAAAAAGCTGAATAATTAATACATAAATGTTTAAGTCACTCGGGAGACACAGCCTGTCTGTGCTGCATCTTCATTCATCACTCCCTGTTATAGCCACATATTATATTGACTTTGGATTAAACTAAGTATTATTTGTTCCATTGATAAGCACTACTTATAGCGATCCTGTGGATTAACAGATAAATGGCAAATTGATCAATGTTTACCAAATACCAATAATGAGAATAGATAACAATAGCATCCAAATTGCAGACAGATGTAGTGATAAGAAAAAAATTTGGCAGGTAAGTCGGAAGGTGTCCACTACCCAGACAGACATTTAACTTCTACACTGAACTTTAGTACAAAGCTCGCCGGTGCGAGAAAGCAAACTTGAAATAAAAAAGTTAACCTTTTAAAACTGATGACAGGTAGAAATGTGGTTCGATGTGACTAAATGCAAATGAGGGCCAAACAATATAAATGGCAGAGCCAGCCCGCACTCATCATCTGATAGCCGATGGAATCGAGTTATAAGCTAAAGTCTTCTCCCCGCTCGCTAACACGACCGCCACTATCAGCTGACAGTGAATGTCATTGCTGGTGAACAGAGGAAATTGTGCCTTGAAGTTTTGAGTAATTGAATTTGTAAAAGTCATCGTATTACCCTATAATGTGATATGCAGATTCAGAGAGGATTGCAGTTTACAAAAGGGTTGCACCACTATGAAACTGCCTCCACCACCCCACCCCACCCCCCACCCCCCACACGCAGACACAGACGCACACGTACACACGCAGCGCATCATTAACCCAGTTTCCCATTTCTCATTGCTTCTGGCATTGCTGTTCTTGCCTCAGAGGAAGTTGAGATGAGCGACTATAAGCCTCAGATGGTATTTTCGTACAAAGACACTGTGGAAATGCTCCTCACACTTTGGCTGATTCTTCGAATGTCTCCATGACATGACCTGTGAGGATTTAAATATCCTTGACAAAGCCTCTCTCTCGCACTTACAGAAAGGCTGGCGAGGCATTATCATCCTGTACAATACACACACTATGTGAAGTATATTTTCAAGACTTTCTGAGGCACACTTGAACAAACTGCTGCACTTTTACATTTATACGGTGTGCGTAAATATAGCAGGGTGAAAATAACCGTGGAAAGAAAAACCATCAGTGTGGATATTTCAGGGTTTGTGCTAAATCCACATACAGCAAGGTCCAAAAGTCTGAGACCACTTTCAAGTAAATCTGATCAGATACCAATGCATTACAAAAAAAATTTTTAACAGCTGTATACCACTAACCCTGTATGGATGTGATATGATTGCTGTCATTGTTGTAATGGCATGTCCCAGGTTAAACCCTTTGTAAAATATGAACAGATACATGAATCCCATAAAAATTTCACTTGGGGAAAAAAGCTTTGGACAGAATTGTTCCTATACAAACACTGTTTAAATAATTTGCTAATAATCTTCTTTCAGTGTTCATTTTGGGTCTTTTCATACTTAACAACATATGGAAAAAGAACTATTTGAAACTGTTGTAGCCTCCTACGGCAAACTGTCAGATGCTGAGGCGCACAGACTGCCTCTCGTCTCGTCTCACTCGAGTCGCAATGATTGGCTGAGTAGCATCACGTGACCAGTGCTGTAAAGGCCAAAAAANAAACATATGGAAAAAGAACTATTTGAAACTGTTGTAGCCTGCTACTGCAAACTGTCAGATGAGTAGCATCACGTGACCAGTGCTGTAAAGGCCAAAAAATGCTGCAGAACATAAATACTAAAATGTAATAATTCTCAATAATGTATAGGTTATAGGTCCAGGTAAGGATATGGTGGTGTCTAGGTTTGAACCTGGACCACGTTCTGCCTATTAGTGACCTCAGCCAATGGTTTTCCTCACTGCCCTACAACAGTAGTTGCCAGTGGCTGCACAGCACAACTTCGCGTGAAGGTTTTTGTTCTAGAGCAGCGAAGAACAACTGATTTCTGGGAAAACTGCCATTTTATCTGGGTGTGAAACTATAAAGTTTATTAATAAATTACGAGGTATCGCATCGGTGCTCAGACTCACGTACTTCCCAATTCCTGAGCCAGTATTTTAGGCAGTAGTTCCAATACTAGTATCAGAATCTGATCAATTCTATTCTACAGTGGTGTCCTGAGGATGTGAAGAAAGACAAAACAAAAACATCAGTACTTAGTTGAATAAACAAGAAGAACAAGAGAAAAGGGCAGATTTAAAAAAAAAAAATTCAGCATGTCTGACCTTTTTGGCTGTCAATGACGAAGTTGCCCTCCTCGTTTCCTGTGGTGATCTTATATGTGATCCCGTCCCCATCGGGGTCCTTCGCCAGCACCGTGGCAACAAGCGTGTTGGGCCCCGCGTCCTCTGAGACGAAGGTCCGATAT